TTATCCGTCCACATTTAGAGCACGGAAACATAGTACTTCCCCCCTCACCCCAAAAGGATAAGGACACCCTGGAGCGTATCCAAGGGTGAGCCACGAAATCAGTTCGAGGACTCAAATTTAAACCTTACGAAGAGCGCGTCCATTCACTTAACCTTTACCGATTGTAGTATAGACGTCTTCGAGGTGACCTTCTGATGGCTTACAGTATCCTTAACACTTCTGGATATCCTCTCAAACACCTACTTAAGCTTAGTTCCAACACTAACCTAAGAGGTAACACCCAAAAACTGGAGACACAATATAGCAGAACGGACTGTAGACACAACTTCAACTCCTTAAGAGTTGTCAAATGCTGGAATTCGCTGCCGGTTGAGCTAGTCCAAGCGACTTCCCAGGAGTCCTTTAAGAGGCAACTTGATCTATTTTTAAGGACTAAGGATAGTATCACACTATGATTTACTAAGTTCTTTTCCTCTTTTATTGTTAACATACCTAGGTTCCTGTCTGGAGGACTTGGTGATCCCCTGCTACTAGACACGGAAGCCTGTTAAGCGAAAGCTTCTTCTATTCCGTCCACAACCATTTGAACCATTTGAACCATTCAGTGTGGATTTTAGTATTTCCATGACATTTAACAATGCCCTCAAACCTATTCCCCTCTTGAGGGTGATAACCGAGTGGGCTGCAGTAACTTTGACGGGCGGGATTTCAGATGGAAGCTTCTTGATATTATGGTACAGTTCCATGTCTTTGGTAGCGCCCATTTTGTAACATCTGGTCATTCGACCTCCCTAATTCTTGTGAAGTTGATAGTCATTTGGCTATTCAGTAATTGGTAATGGTCACCAAATTTTCCTTCTCAGATTTAGGAATGAAATATTAAAATCTGCGGCAAAGAGTACATTATCAGGCCCCACCGGGTGATATTAGAGTAATCACCTGAAGTTTTTGCTCACCATACTTACACTCACTTTGAGGAAGATGTATTTCCCAGGATATATGCTCAGTGATGTTCTTATTTGAACTATTACCATCGGAACACCCACAGTTTGGGAACCCTAGTGTTAGTAGAAATTATGGCTCTAAGGTGGCAGCCGACACATACCACCAACACATATCTTTCTTTATGTATCGTATAATGTCTAAAGTTTCATGCCCTGAATGCTCACTTCAATATCCATGATATCTGTCAGAACTATGACCTGGTGTCCGAGACGAATAAAAACGTTTCACAGCTTGACAGATATGAATGAGGAACTGCTGAACGTTGTGCGCTGTCAAGGATCTGATGAACAAGAACAGCTGTTGTTTTTCATACTCTTGAGTGATGTGGAGGCTGTCGCTACTGTAGTACATGAACCAAATATATTTCACCTGGATTGCAATTTGTTAGTTCCGAGACATTGTGAATCGCTTATCTGGTGGGTTCAGTACATGCTGTTGATACCTGCCTCTCTCTAAAGGCTGCGGATGTCTTGGGTAGAAGCTAGAGTGAAACGAAGAAGAACCGCATTTCAAGTGATAGCTACAATGCAGAACCAGACCCTGGGTAGATTTTCAAACCATTCACTCTGTTACAACCAGTACCAAGCTAGAAGCATTTATTTGTCGAAACTCGTTCGAATTTACAATAGGTTTATTTCCGACACTTAGACAACAACCACATGATATTACATTCCGTTGTTCGTGGTTAATGGACATGGCAGAGGGTTATTCATTCAACCAGTATGCATGGATTGAGAGCGATATTTTGGGAGTAACTTTTGTGGTCACGTTTTTCTTATTCCTTGTGGATCCTGTGTAAGGAGGGGATATCTGGTGAGTTAAGTTATAAATGACAAACCTGTGCTTTTTTGCTTGTGTGCCAAGAGATTTACACGACACAAGTACCCAAACCACGGGCATGAGCGGTTAACTATGAACATGTAATAGTACATGGTTGAATCAGTTTCCTAAAGCCGGTGAGACTATCCGTCACAAACCTTTCCTACTGATGAGGCGAGGTTTGTTGCAACTAATGAATTAAATGCAATGGGACAGTTGCCGTTATATCCTACTCTCCCAGTACACGATATATTCGAAGTTCTTCTTGGAGACTAACTTTAGTTCTTGATTTCCAGTTGTTATCTTCTGAGACTAGAGAGGAGATATTAGATCAAAATGAGGTACTGGTTCTTCAATGAAATGCTTGCTTTAGCTGTTCGGTTAATACTCTGATTACTTTCTCGGAATATGTTTTCCACCGCCGATCCTAGGGTCATGAAGCGTTTAGTCCGAGATGACTACTTTGGATTCCATACCAACCCCTTATCATAGGACTCAAACTTGTCGTCTCTGTTGTTACGAAGTAAGAACTACTTGAGAGACAAATACTGCATTATGCTTCGGAGACTAGAGGAACAGACAGCGAAAAAACACTTTAAGAAGAGGCAAGTGAATAAAGGTAACGTTTAAGCAAACCCTTAGAAACACCGTTGGAACTTTGCCTTTAACCTTCCTCACCGCAACTGCCACATGTCCTATGTTTCCGAGTATGTGATTTGGTGTATTATGCAACAATAACAACTATAGAATGGAGCAGTTTCTCGAGACAGATGGTGCTAAATTTAGGACTGATTAAATGCAAATCATTTTCGGTTGCTTGCCTTGTTGAATATTCATGGGTTATATGTGATTACTGAGTCATCAGGCCACTCTTTCGTCAGTTCTTCACTCTTCCAGGTTGTCACATGCGCTGAACTTTACATTTCTTCGGACGAAAACGTATCTCAGGTTAAACCTAAAACCACTAAAGGCTGAAAGTCACAGGAAATCAAAAGCTTTTATGCCTTCGCGGTCAACTCTTTAAACGAATTTCATTGAGGGACGAGACCAACGTAGATGATTCTGAAAATAGAAGACATGGCTTAATATTTATTAAGTTAGCATTTGGGCTCTACAACTCGAATAAAGAATAGTTATGACAGACTGACCTGTTGTTTTGGCCTGATAAAGCCTTTAAGTTTAAGACAAAATTATCTACATAAACTTATTAACGAAATGAGGTGTTCGAGATAGACTGTCAGAAAAGGCAGGCCATGTGTATCAAATGTTCTCGTTGCATGAGGAGATTGGATGACCCTCTGGGATCATAAGAAACCAGTTCATGTAATATTCCTCGATTTCACAAAAGCCTTTTGGCACAGTCTCTCATGAACTTCTCACTGACCCAATTTCATAACGGCCCTAAAAATTAGTGGAGAACAGGATATTTGGTACCCAGGTTAATAAAGTGCATGCAAGTTGGATGGCCTCAACATCAGGTGTGTAATGGAAAGAGAACGATGAAAACCCCTTCGCAGCCTTTTTGTTGTACAGTACTGTCATCTACTTGTTTCTTCTCCCTGTCGTATATTTTAGCCTTGTTTAACCACACCTTTTGTTCTTCAGTCTTCCTCATCTGAGCTTTTATCATGTGATTTTGATCAAAGACTTATCTTTTGTTACCTAATTTTCCATTTCATGTTGCCGGACTATTGGCGGCAAGGTCGTGTTTGACTAAGCTCAAGGTCACGGCGTGGTTCAGCTTGTGGGTGTTAACCTTTTGACTGTCGGCTTAGGAGGATTGCTGGAATCCCTGCAGATAGATACTTGATCCCATCTTGTTGGAAATATTTTATTGATTCTCAGGTATCGAACCCTTCGGTATTAACTGTTTCTTTTATCGTTTAGCGCGCTACTTTGCGTTAGAGAATCTTCCGACTGTATAGCTCAGGGTGTACCGTTTGAGGCATTTTGTATTTTGATATAATTTGTTTTACTTCCTAAATTAGAACCGTTTAAATTGAGCACACAATTTGTGTTTTGATATAATTTAATAACAGTGTCTCAAAAACGCTTGGTAAGCTATACAGAAGAACGTAGTCTGGCCTATTAGAATACATTTTGGTTCGTCAGTCCTGTGTTCAAACCGAATACTGGCAGTTCAGTCGCTACAAGGAGTTTGGAAAGGAAACATCTTGGATCCATTTCTATCTTTAATGTTTATTGACAATCTGTTGGATAAAAGTGGCCCACTGGACGATGCAAAGATCCGGGGGTCTATAAAAAACGGAAAGGATGCACTTGAGCTCCAAATGAACCTTACAATAATAGAGGAAGAGGTATTAGGTACTTGATTAAAACAGCCTGTCTAAATGTCATGTCATGAACATTCAGATTCGTTTGACACACAACATTCTCCATGAGAACCCGCTCTCCATGTCCCCTGAAAGCGTGATCTCAGGCTTGTAACCACAGAGAACTTAAACACCAGCTCAAACTACTTGATGGATGCAGCCAAAGCAAATGCTAATATCCACTTTATGCGGAGACAATTTGGTACAGTTACTCCAGAGTAGTTCCTAACATTGGTTACAATATACACACAGGCCCACCTCGAAGTCCATAATATTTTTGCGCCCCTGTATTCAAAAGAGAGACAAACCGTTTAGACCAAGTACAGAGACGCTCAACCCAGTGACCGATAGGTCTAAAACTTAGATCTCACGAGGACAGGATCCAACACTGGATTGTTCCTGTTGAGCTTTACGAAAATAAGAAGTGACCTGATAGTGACATACGATATATTAAGTACGCTAAGCCACCCCTACATAAGCACATCAACAGAATATCATCAACACGCTCTTCAAAGCAACCCTTGGAAGATTGCAAATAAAACGGTAAACACCCATGTACACGCTTACGTTTTTAGCAAGAGTTACTCCAATTTGCAATGTTACGCCAGCCGATGGGACCACAATCCTATCAGTGAAGAGCTTAGAGAGGAAACTTGACAAACACATACATATCTACAAGTTACCATATTCTTGGACCAGATTTTTTTGATGCCTGTCTCGTAAATTATGACAGTCATCATTACTGCAAACCAGTAACTACTTCTTACGTTACTCATCTCGTGACGAAGATATTGGACGTTGAATTTTCGTGAGGTCACAAGTTGAGTGTGCGCGGTACTTCATATGTCTATAAGTAGGTTTGAGGTTCAGATTGTCAAGTGGATTTATTCATAATGTGCAGTTAATTTTGTTCTATTGTCGATTAGTTGACTTCACTTCTCAATCAAAAAGACTCATTCCCTCGTTTTCCAAATCGTCGTCCTGAGTTTATTCAAATTCCACCATCACTATTGCTGTATTGAGACTGTAACTGACTTTTGAACTTTTTATCATACTCATCCATCTCGGAGGATTATAAAGTGACAGTTGTCCTCTTTGGGATACGTGCTAAACAATTTGAAAAAGTATTTTGGCTTATAAGCCGAGTACTTTTCGTAAAGCATACATTGGTATCCTAGTTTCTTCGTATAAGGTTTATTAGTTGGTATGATTCACAGAATAAGAGCACTAGCGATAGTCTGACATCAGGTCTAAGGAAATTATACGTTGTGGATCCGTTTCCTGGCCGTCTATGAAGACGTGCTAACTTTAGTATCGTCTTGCTGTTGGCCAGACTGTACAAGTTCGGGTCTGCGATGTCTTAGCGAAAGCAGTTTCGCCACGTGGTTGTAAAACCTGGCCTCTCCAAGCTGGGAATGTGGATGACTTTGTATCATCCAGTGGTAACAGTATGTTATACGGAAGTTAGGAAACGTGTGTTTGGGTTTAATGTTGATTACTCGATGTCACCACCTTGAAATACTGACTTCGATGGCTTGAACATGCTATAAATGTCATCCCAGATGTTTCCACATTGCAAATTAATTTTTAAATTTTGGACTTTGTGAGAAAAGCAAATTAGTGACCGGTTGGTAACATGGCGTCGTAGCACAAGAAAATATATAGGACTGGCACTGTTTCGTCCATCACAACTACCCGGATGAGGTCCTAGAGATGGTGCAGTTCAGTGGCTTGAGACACGAACGGTTTCATACCTGTTCCTTACCATACAACCTGGTGAGTCTTGGACAATCTGTGGAGTATAGTGAAAGTCATCAGTTTTGAAGCAATGAGCAGACCTGTGCTCTGACAATTGCCGCATACCTTACGTGTGACATTTTCCAAGATCGGAATCACGATCTGTTTATTCCTGAATGATGTAAAACGCTTTGTACACCAGTTGTTTTCAAACATTTCAGTCAGTTCTCTGACCAGGACTTCCACTTCTTGGAAAAAGAGGGGTTGTTGTTGTTGTTGTTATAGATCGGTAACTTGTGACTTTTTACGAGTAGAGGTTCTTTACAGATACCTGGATTGACCTTCATGGACTAAAGAACACAAAGCAGACTGATTGAGGTTCTAAGATTAATAAGGCGGTTAAACTATTTTTCAGAGTGCTCTGCTCGATGTCCACACGTCTTTGGAGGTTACTAATTGGAGTACCATCAACTTAACAGGTTATTTTATTATCAGCGTACTTCTTTCTGCTTGTGGCTAATGTATGATGAAACATCTGTCAGATAACGGATGAAACTTGCTAACACACTATGACCACTAGATAAATCAAACTCTAATCAAGTTTCGTAAAACTTTCTGAGGTATGTTCCTGCTGTCGAACTCACAATTCACCAGAGCAGACTAGTGTTCCTCCAAAGGTTCCAAGGAACCCGCAGTAACCTAGTGCTTATCAAACCACAGATGAATTTTCTCACCATTTTCATGGAAGTGTAGTTAGTGATCGTTTTCAGTTATCGATGGGGTGGTTGCTAGCCGTGAATCTAGATCGTTTTGATGTTTGGTTACAATGAAAGATGCCTCATTTTGTATGTATCGATCCGTTTCGAGCGGTTTTTTTCAAGAAGCAAGATAAGTTTGACACATTAACATGACCAAAATCTGAATAGGTGCTCCAAAACTAGTCCCAAATATATGCAGCCCATCCAGTGCTGATTGCAGTATGATCAGTTTAAGTCCAGACCTAAGCTTCACAGCAAAAATGCCAATAGCAAATCGTCAGTGACTCTAACAGATGTTAGTTCTGACTAAAAACAGGTTCTGATATATACATAGCTTCAGTAGACGATGCCCTTTATCCCACTTGTTGTCCAAAGACTTAATCCTGTCTGCACATACAAGTCCTTATCTAGCACCGAAATATTTTTCGAACGTACCCTATTGGGACCGTTTAATTATTGGCAAAACTCTTTCTTTATTGGGTCTGAAGCTCGATCCGTCAGTGAGTAGGCAGGCGTTACATAAAAGTGGTTTCTCATGGTAGTTTTTTCTTGTCTTGGACCTTCTAGATTAGCAGCGCATGACTTAACAGAAATGCAGCTCATTGATAACGTCCACGATATAAGACGTAGTTCCACACCAACACGCCAGTTCCTTTGAGGCCCCGGATCTACAATACAGTGTGAATATTGGTTTCGGCGGGATAAGACCCATGGCTTCAGAAAATCTGTATCAGTTATTGCATTCGATGACAACATTAAAAAGATCGATCATTTACCGACTTGAGACCGATTAGAGAGGACGAAGTTCAACAAGAATGGACTTCTGAGTCTGATAAAATTTATGTAGGTGAATGTATATACCATTTAAATAAAACGGGAAAGTTGAAATAGTTGAAAATAAAGTTATGTGTGATAAATTGATCGTAAATATCGTTTGAATGGATAGTAAAACAGAGCGAGTAGAACAGTGTCTTTGTTAGCTATCGTCAAATTTGTGTGTGATGGGATGCTGCTGGAAGGCACAAACTGAAGCAGGATAAATTTTCAGGGACAAGCCTCACGTCATTTGACCTGAGGGTTAGTATATAACATTCTAATTTCATGAGTTACCTAAAATTAAGCACCAATTTAAACATGATTTTCATCATTTCATTTGATTAGGATGTTTTTAGTGTTTTCGACGCAGCTAAATAACAAGTTATTTTTTCCCCTTTTTTAGTGGATGGCCGTGTCGAATTGTATGAAGTATGTCAGTATTCATATTGTTTTTATTTCTGATTTAGGAAGTAAAACTTTATCGTACTGCACGCGAAAGAGAAAAGTAAGTCCCATCTAGGAGTAGAGAAATTTTTAGGTATGACAATCTTGCTGAACTCTATGCTGTTATCAACACTATACAATGTTTACAAAAAGCATATATTAAGGACTATGTGGAATCAAAAGAGTTGAGTTAAATAGTCTTTTATTATGCTCCTAATAACTTAGGTATACTGCTGCCTGTTCAAAGCTTCTTGTCCAGTACAAAGCTGCATTTAAACAAGTTCAAGGAGATGAATTTGCTACTGTAGAAGATTTCATGCGAAAATATAAAGTTTGTCAATTGCAAGAATTTGTTTCATTTACATTTTAGATGGATTGTCCAGCAGCTCTAGAGCGTATTAAGGAGGGAAGACCGATAACTATCAAGGATGATAAACAAAATATAAATAAAAGTATTGCTGATACTGTTTCTGTAAGTTAATTTTGATTAGTAAATAAGTTTGGAACGTAACTATCATTAGGTTTTATATTGACTATGTCAATAGTGTTTTATTGAGATTTATCCCTAAGAAGTAATCTGATTGATGTTCTTTGTAAAAACATTGAAGAAAATAATGTTTGTTGTGATAACTTACTATGTGATACTGTTTTTTTTTAATGGTTCTACTTATATAGATTTTTTTCATTTTTTATCACCGGCTTATGTACTGAACAGCTTATCAATATAAATTATCGAAATTTTAGTTCTTCTAGTGTCATAAGGCTGTTTATTTCATAATCTAATATGACAATATACGTAGTTACTGATTTCTATTTCCATTGTTTAAAGTTCCCATTTTTATCGAAATCTGGCTATATGAACTAACCTAAGAGTTTCTTTCCAATAAATTTTCATATTTTATAATTATAAGTTCAAATTAATCTTACAAGGAGGATAACCAAGTCTAAGGCAAACAAATCATTTAAAATTGCAACACATAGATTGAGGATTGTTAGTGTTGAAATAACTAGTTTGTAATGTTAACTCGAATCAGTTTATAGGTCCGTTGAAATGATCAGAATAAATATAGGTAACATAGAGTTAAACAAATAATATAACTGCCAACCAGACCAAATGCTTAGTCGTAGGTTACTTACCGTGAATTTAGTAGGGAATTATAGAGTGGGCTAAATACTAACTAACTTCTCTATGGGTTTACAAAATTAATAATAATTTCACCCTAATTTATTTAAACACAAACATTAGTACAAGGAGGTACCAAACAGATATACGCCACATAAGTCATTCAATTTGTATAAGGACTTGGATAATAATCCCAGTAAAATAATAAAATAATAATATGTGCAGGGAGTCTTCTTTTAAGAAATTTAAAACAATTAGTCCCTTTGATAAATTTCGATAATGATATTAGAAGACGAAGATTAACAGAACTATGTGATATATTAGCGCAATACATTTCGAACAATCTGGTCACACATATACCTGTTAAGAGCATTCATATATAAAAATAAAAGGTCAACTAGACAGGAAACGGGGTAAGAGGAGATAAGGATAATGATAAGAGTAATAATAATGATAATAATGTGAACACAAAGCGAAACCTAATCACTCTGGATAATAACTCAATATTACCAGGGTAGGTTTAAGGTAAGAACAAACTGTTTTTGAACACATAAAGGGGGTTTGAATTTTCGTATGGCTAAGGCTTCAATAAACCTTAGTATACGCCCTTTTACACTTTTATACAGCACTACAAAAGCTGAATTTAGATCAATCTTGTGACCCGTTTCAATTATATGTTTAGCAATAGAAGATGATGGATGTTTATCCTCTGCTCTTATTGGGTCACTTGATTGTATTTGTTTCTGAAGCCATTTGGGTACATGTTCACTCACCCTAATGTTGAGATCACGATTACTCCTCCCTATGTATGTGTGACCACACACACATTTAAATTGGTAAACACAGTGGGATGTGACGCAATCGTTTCCATGTACTTTAGGTTTTGAATGAAGCATGCACCTTGTTCTTTCTTTGATGATGACCTTTGCTGCGCAATAGGTTTTATTGATGACTGATTTAAGTCGTTGTTTCAATAAAAGGCTATTTGAATCACCTCTGAATGGTAAGGTGATGTTGATGGGCTTTTTCTCTACCGAGGCTACAGTAGGTCTCGCTGTACCGTGGACTTTCCATCTATTTATGAATTTCAGAGGATAGCCATTTTCTATTAACGTTTTATTTAACAACTTAACATCATCATCAATGGCGTCATTGGTACAAATACGGTCGAGTCTGTTGAAAAGACACCTTATCAAACCACGTTTGTATTACACAGGGCAATAACAAGTATATGTGTGACCAGATTGTTCGAAATGTATTGCGCTAATATATCACATAGTTCTGTTAATCTTCGTCTTCTAATATCATTATCGAAATTTATTAAAGGGACTAATTGTTTTAAATTTCTTAAAAGAAGACTCCCTGCACATACTATCAAAAGGTTAGATGAACTTGTCAACCTTAAATGTAAAATTGTATCGGAACGCGTGAAACTAAACTTCTATAAATCTTGTTTGTCGAGTCACATATTCCCAAACCAACGCGCGATGGCGTTTGAAGTGAAAGGTTCTGAGTTCGAGTCCCAGAGTGAACATCAACTCTGAGATGCAGGTACATCCAGCTGACGAGTCCCAAACAGGACGAAACGCGCGTCCTGGATTCCACTGCTAGCCACTATCCATCTTTGCTTATAATGCTTGTAAATTAAGGCAATATCGAGGCATACGCACAGTATGCACATATGCCAATATGAGACTGATCAATTTCAGTCCTAAAACATCAATGGGAAGATTCAAGTAAAACAATATCAAGTGAAGTTTGTTCTTACCTTAAACCTACCCTGGTAATATTGAGTTATTATCCAGAGTGATTAGGTTTCGCCTTGTGTTCACATTATTATTATTATTATTATTATTATTATTATTATTATTATTATTATTATTATTTTCTCTTATCATTATCCTTATCTCCTCTTACCCCGTTTCCTGTCTAGTAGACCTTTTATTTTTATATATAAACGCTCTTAACAAGTATATGTGTGACCAGATTGTTCGAAATGTATTGCGCCAATATATCACATAGCTCTGTTAATCTTCGTCTTCTAATATCATTATCGAAAAAAAAAAATAATAGTAATGGCGATAAAAAGATGTGTAAGTAATAATAGCAATAATATTTGGATATTGTAAATTTAAGCTGTGAATATACAAAGGGGGAAGTTACATGTAAATTAGTCTGGTTAAATCATCCTGTAATCAATATGACTTTTGACTCATTGGGTCTGAAGTTAACCGATATAAAGGGCGACTAGACATATTTCTTTCGTACACGAACTTTCAGTTTTTAATCTGGATAGCTGTTGCGTTTTTCGTTTGGTGGACTTTGAGTCTGACGGATTTTCGCAGATAATTAACTTGATAAATTACTGAAACTGTTTGATTCACACTAGTTGTTCGATTGGTCTAAAAAAAAATGCGCTAAAATCGGACTGGTGATCGTTTCAACTGCACCTTTGCCTAGCCACACTGCAAGATGTTTGCGAGGACGGTAAACTAAATCCTTAGGATATCTAGCGATGTAACTTCCTCCACAAAAGCGGCTGAATTGATGGGTACAAAAATATAAATTGCCTAAACCAGCCACTCCTATTTCCGATATTCAATTTTACCATAAACATTCGGACAGTAAATGAATTACATACTCAAAGATGTTTACTTATAATAATCTTTCTTGTTCTAAATATTCAGTTAAGAAGTGTCATATTTATTGCTTTAGTTTTCTTAACGTTTATCCTGAAATTTACATTGTATTATTCCTATTTTGTTTTTTGTTCTAGTTGTTTATTACTATTATGGATAAGCTGCGACTAGATATTCGCGCAGTGGATGAAGTAGTACTATTCTGATATTGATAAGTTTTCTTACAGCTCCATCCAGATCTTCGAGAATTGTATGAAACCCTTTATCGGTTGAGTATTCTACCTGCAGATTTTGAGGGTAAAGATAGAGTGAAAGCCTGGTAAGTTTAATTTAGCAGATTGAAAAAATTTGGAAGTGACAATAGTTGACATCCATTGTTATGCTAAATGTAAGTCATATGTCTAAAAGCCATAGATGCTGTTTTTACTCCTGTCTGTTAGAGGATTCGAATCCATGATCTACTTTGAATAAAAATAGATTATAACAACTAATTGACCATAGTCCCCTTCGTCATTCCCATTTATTCAGTCTATCTGTCAACCAAATCTGGATAAACCTACTGTTTAAAATTATCTTCACTCCAACTTTTTACCCATCGAGTTTCCTGATAATCTTCACCCATTGTATATTTAGCTACGGAAATATCACACTTTTAAAACATGTTTACTATATGTTTGTGATTCAGAGTAAAAATGGCCTGAAATATATATGATTGGTTGTATAGGCTTTTGTCTGTACTCAAAGCTAGTATCTTAAATAATTTCAAATACATAGTACACAGTTTGCTGGATAAATCTTAAAAAATGGTTTCTAAAATACGTTTCCATTTATTGTTTGCCTTTCATTAGGCTAGACAAAATGGATCAAATGCAAGCGTCTGATGAATTATCTGAAGCTGAAGTACGACAGATGCTTTTTGATTTAGACTCTGGATATAATGCCTTCAATCGGACATTGCATTCTGGCCAGTGAATACTCGACAAGATATATATATATATATATATATATATATATATATATATATATATATATAATATGCTCTTCAAAGTAGAGAATTTTCTTTTTATACCTAACTTCTATTATTTAATTGCTTCTTTTCTTTTAACATTCGTGTAAATTAAAGACTGTCACAAGAAATTAAAAGTAATATTGTGGTTAGCTTATAGATTTATTATAACCAGCCTGTGTACACTCACTATTTGTGGTGGTCCGTTCTAAGTAGTTAAAAGGTCCATGTATCTGTGTAGTTTTATATGTTGGTGGCGACGCTACATATGAGGTCAATCTATATACAGTGAAAGCTAAGGCGGTCTATTGGAATCGCGGCTATCGTTGGCGCCGTTTTGCTGTTGGTCAGACTGTAAAAGTCCGGGCCTACGATGTCTTCGCGAAAGCAGTTTCGCTACGTGGTTATAAAACCTGGCCTCTCCAAGCTGTGGATGTGAATGACTCATTGTGTTCAATTATCTTATTCTCCGAAAGATTATTAACATCTAATGGTAACAGTACGTTATACCTAAGTTAGGAAACGTGTGTTTAGGTTTAGTGTTGATTATTCTATCGTTGTAAGCAGTTGTTTGGCCGCTTCACTAGTTTTCTTTTACGTCTGCACCTATAACCGATCACCTTGCGAACTCAATTTTTAATGAGATGACTATTTCCACCAATTGAGTCGCTGTCTCTAAGTTTTATTCCACAAAGCGACTACTTGTGGCCATTGCTTCACACAACCACATATTTACTGTGTGACTAGTACACATGAAATAGTGTTCATCACTAGTGTGAATAAGTCAAAGGCCATCCGATTGGTTAGAGTGCATGGGTAGAATAAATCCGGTTTAAAATATTTTGAGTAATAGGCATATTTCAACTGAAAATACACTAGGAATCAATGAGTAACGAACAAAAGTGAAACACTAAACGTAGAATACGTTAAGAAACGGATCACCCAATGGATTGGGATACAATGGTTTTTTACATTCTAATGTAAATGCGTATCGTAACCATTATTTAATGGTCGGTGAAGATCTGTCTTCATTCGCTACTTACATGACTTCACAAAGTAGAACTGCATCAGTAATTCTAGATTTTTGTTTTAAAGAAGGTCAGGGTACGGCACTAATATCAAATCTCAAATTACTGAGCTTTGTTGAGGTTTTATACAATTAGTAGGGCATTTTCACTGAAAACTGTTGTCAAATAGAGAGCGATTGAACCATATGATCCACATAATCCCTTGAAATTATGAAAATTTTCATACATTAACAACCTACTTATCTAATTTATTACTGATAATAAGCTTCTACTAAAAAAATATTTGTAACTATCTTCCAGCATTTAAACTTGTTTCATACAAACCAAAATGATTTCTAATTAATCTACATTGTGATAATAAACTTGTTTATTCATATTAGTTTTAAATTTAATTAAGTGATTGTGTATACAATTATTAGAATGGGGGGTTCGTGGATATTGTAGTAAATTTTACTAGTTGAATTAATGGGTCGATTAAAGATGGACCAGCACGGAAAACCTGAAAGCACTGGATGTCCTTTTTGTCTAAGTATGGGACTCAGCAGTGCACATCCACGGTTCCCCGTGCAGGACTCGAACCCGGGACTCTCGATCTCGCGGGAGTTCAACCGTGTCTGTTGTAGAGGCAGTTACTCACTGAAGACAATGGTGGACAGTCTCGCATTACCATGGATTGGTTGAAGTTAGACATTAGCACCATTGGATGCCGGTTCAGTGGTTTAGAGGTTAAGCGTTCGTCCGTGAGACCGAAGGTCCGGGTCCCGCACGCGGGATCGAGAATACCCACTGCCGAGGAGTCTCATACAAGGACGAGACGGCCGTCCAGTGCTTCTAGGTTTTCCATGGTGGTCTAGCTTGAATCAACTCTTGTACATAGAATAAATGAAGTAAATATATAACGAATGTAGACGGTACATACTGATCGTTAGCCATAAGCCCCCCAAATGCCCTGGTATGGCCGAGAGCGGGTTGGGTTCGCCCTCCCTCTTGAAATACTCTCACACGGCCACGCGTATACAGCCTCTGCCAGGGAAGTCCTTCTTACTGCCTTCTCGTGGCGGGGGTGTTGTTTACGAAAATGAGAGGACGAAAAGCAAATGTCCGGCGCTTTAACCGGATCCCAAACTGTTATGACTTTAGGTTGGGTCGGTTTTTACCCTGTGCTAATTGTTGTGTCCTTGACTGGAAAATTAGAGAGCAGCGTACTTATCGACCGATTACAGGGACACGTAAAAATGTACGGACGGCCTAGAGCCTCGATTGGTCCCGCTTCCCTGTCTAGCCCAGTCAGTTAAGTCCAGAACACAAGTTACAACCTCTGAGATATGAATCATTGTATTTCAGACATACTCTATTTATATACTAACCAAACATACCACATCGTACCATAAAAATAGAAAACAACATTTGTACAATATTTAACGGATGAAGTAAATAATGGCCAATAGGAAAAGTCCATTTAACGTCCAAGGACATCACTAGGCTTAACACGATAATGATTGGCACATTATTCTGCATCCATAACACAAACCAAATCAATGGTGCACATGGGCTCCAGTATCCTGCGGGAACAAATGGCGTATGAACTAATTTCTTGGTCACTGACTACCATGGGACTGCATCTCCTTACGATGCTCCACTTCCTTGTGGGTTAGACCTTTAGGTCAAAGGCTCGGGGTGTGGCCTCCCAAGAAAACCACCTGCTTCGGTCTGGGCACCCGGGCAGTATCACAGCCCACACACAAATGATGAACTGTCTATATTTATGGAAACTAATCTTCTCTCTTCGACTAATAATCAAGTGATTCAAATTATTATTATTGTTATTATTATTATTATTTACTACGTCATTATTCACCCTCTTTCATTCTTACTCTGTCTATACTTGTTTTTTCGACTTATGCAGCAGCTCGTCTATGGTGGAGATTCAACTCTATATAAACGTTCTCGAGTCACTGTCCGGTTGAAAATTGTATGTTACCACCGAATATGAGCACTGAAGCAGTTTTTCTGAAACCACCATTCAAACTGGCTGCCTTCAACGTTCGCACACTTATGCAGGTTGGACAACAGATAGGGCTGGCTATGTCTTTGGAAAGTCTTAATATCGATGTTTGCTGTCTATCCGAGACCCGTATTCAAGACTCTGGTGAAGTACTACAAATTCGCTCTCCATCTGTCACTTCAAAAAGCTTGTTTTACGTGCGCTTATCCGGGGACCCTGTGGCATCTTCGTCTGGTCTTGCTGGCGTTGGTGTCGCACTAAGCGCTAGAGCTGAGGCAGCACTAATCGATTGGATCCCCATTAACAGTCGGTTATGTGCTGTTAGATTAGAAAGTTCCATCAAAGTGAGAAGAAATCGGCGTGAGAAACGATGTCTTTTCGTCATCTCCGCCTATGCCCGACAGATTGCAGCCCGGATGCAATCAAGGATGAGTTTTACCACCAGTTATCTGTTCTTCTCCAGAAAGTGCGTTCGACAGATATTGTAGTACTAGCCGGAGACTTGAATGCTCAGGTCGGGCGTCTAGGCACAGAAGAGAGTCGTTTAGGTGGCCGATGGGGACTCGTTGGTCGCAGGTCAGATAACGGGGACCGTCTACTGCAACTGTGCACAGACCACAACCTGTTTCTGGCTAGCACTAACTTTCGGCACAGTCATCGCCGATGTGCCACCTGGCGTCCTCCCTCTGCATCCCAAGCCTGGACTCAGATTGATCACATCGCGATCAGCTACCACTGGCGTGGTTGTGTACAAGACTGCCGCTCCTTTTGGAGTACCTATCTGGACTCTGACCATGCCTTGGTCTGCGCCAATCTTACCTTACTTTTCAGTGGCCAACGAAGTGACCGCCACCAACGGATTGATGTTAGCAAGCTGGTTGCAACTTCTGTTGCAAGTAAGTATCGAACCGAGCTAGCTTCTAGGCTAGCTACCATTCCACCGAAAAGTATAGATGAGCATTGGTTGCAATTGCATGACGCCATGAAAATGGCGGATACAGTCAGTTGTGGGTTCGCGAAACGTCCCGCTTATAAGAACTGGGTTTCTTCAGGTTCCTTACAACTCATTGAAGCCCGTCGGTCTACTCCGGGTGACCGTGAGTTTGACCCTCTGTGGCTGGTGACGACTGATCCATCAAATGAGGCGGAAATCCGCAAGGAACTCGAACTCTTGAAGCGTTACAAATCACCTGGCCCAGATGACTTACCTCCGGCTCTTTTTAAAGATGGTGGTGACTTTCTGACTAAGGAATTGACGGTGTTGTTTACAAAGGTTTGGGAACTAGAGAGTGTACCAACGTCATGGAATGAGTCGATAGTTGTCCCTATCTTTAAAAAGGGTTCACGTCGTTCCTGTAACAACTATCGGGGGATAAGTCTACTTCCGATTGCGTCCAAGCTATTGGCTTCCGTCATACTTCGTAGGTTGTTCAAAACCCGAGAAAGATTGACTCGCGAAGAGCAGGCTGGGTTTCGTTCTGGTCGAGGATGTATTGATCATATCTTCACCCTCCGCCAAATGTTAGAACACCGCCATACTTATCAAAGGCCAACAATCGTAGTGTTTCTTGACATCAGGGCTGCCTTCGATTCGTTGGACAGGACTGTTCTCTGGGATTGTCTATTGAAGAAGGGTGTGCCTGAGAAGTTTATTAACATCCTAAAAGCCCTATATACAAACACCTCAGGCAGAGTGAGGGCATACAACCACCTTTCTCCATTGTTCCATTCGAGCAGTGGGGTTAGGCAGGGTTGCCCAATCTCACCATTCCTCTTCAACTTTGCCATCGATGACATTCTGGAAACAGCTCTGATGAATGTAAGTAATGGTGGTGTGGATCTGTTGCCTGGAGAAAGACTTCTCGACCTTGAGTATGCGGACGATATTGTCTTACTGTGCGATAATGCCCAAGGCATGCAATCCGCACTTAAT